ATAACTTCAAATTTAAAGGCAATTCATCCCGTGTTCTGGTTTGTGTTACTTTTTTTTCACAGTTTCATACCCCTTTGGCAAAGTGTTGGCAAATGTTTCCACGCAAGTCTACGTCTTCTGTGCAAATTACTGGAGACCAGGGTAACCTGCTTGCACAGGCTGACTAGGGCCTACCCTAACCTTGAAAGTCACATTATTAGACTTAAAGTTTTAGGTCTTGCCATGTTAGTTAGAGCTAGAAGTTACCTTATGCTAAGTTATCAGCTAACACAAAGTATCTTAGTTAGTAAGCAGCATTCATTCAACTCATATATTAAATAATTAGCGCTAATGGGCAAATCAAATAGAAGAATTTCACCATGGTCTGCACCAAACATCAAGCTGTACTAGATAATCTATTAGAAATGTTCAAGGCACCAATAGTGCAAAGTGAAAAGATCTAGTTTTGAGAATCAAAATAATGGAGGAGAGACCTTATAGCTGCCTGTCAATAAACGCAGACACCAGTATTTTTAAATCACCCTCCTCTGTGTTATTATGAGGAAGAATCTATCCACAAAAACCAAAACCATTTTATGCAGCAGCCTGTTAACATGCTTTCTAATGCTGTCTGTTTGGCAATTTTAACATGGTAAATGGTCTGTATTTGTATAGCGCTTTACTTGGTCCTAAGGACCCCAAAGCGCTTTACACTATACACAATCATCCACCCATTCACACACACATTCACGCACTGGTAATGGCAAGCTACATTGTAGCCACAGCCGCCCTGGGGCGCACTGACAGAGGCGAGGCTGCCGGACACTGGCGCCACTGGGCCCTCTGACCACCACCAGTAGGCAACGGGTGAAGTGTCTTGCCCAAGGACACAACAGCCGAGACTGTCGGAGCCGGGGCTCGAACCGGCAACCTTCCGATTACAAGACGAACGCCCAACTCTTGAGCCACGATCGCCCAACATGGGAGCCTTATAGGGATTTGTTTTTGAAGCCAGCCTCAAGTGGTCATTAGAGGAACTGCTGTCATAGGCACCTCGGCACTGGCCTTATATTTCAGCTAAGGAGGTTAATACTTGGTAATTTGTCTGTAGGTTAGAGAATAGTAGGCATGTGAATTAGAAGTTTATGTTCTGTATTTATAATTAGCACAATAGCGATAAATTAATTTTATTAAATGGTAAATGGATTGGTACTACTCTGTTCAACTGAGCACTCAAGGCACTTTGTGCTGTAATTCTTGCTTTGTACGTCAATTCTCATTTACTCAGTCACACACACGATCATAAAGCATCTGATGCAAGCCTCAGGGGCAACTTGCTCCAAGGATACTTGAGTGTGCAGGCTGGAGGAGTCAGGGATTGATCTATTGGCAGATGACCAGCTTTACCACATGATCCACAGCCATCCCAATTATATATTATTAAATATTATACCAACGCACCCAGCAACAGGTGGAATTGGAAGGTCTGGATATAACAGTTTACATATTGCAATGGAAATGAATTGGCTTTTTTAGTCTTACCGCACGAAGAGATTTAGACTGCAAGCCATACCCAGTGCTTTGCACACTTCAACTACCCACGGCCAACTTAGAATCACCACTTGCATGCTTGTTTTGAACTGTGGGAGGAAACTGGACTACCCAGAGGAAACCCACGGTAACAGTCACAGAAAGGTTGCAATCCATACAGAACCTTACACCACCACTGCACCACCGTACCAAGTCTGTTAACCAGGGAGCCTTCTGATGCCACGCCCCTGGATGTTACCCCTGAAGCAATGTTTCATGGGAATAATAGTTGCATAGGTGTCCCTGGTGAAAGATTGTTAATTCATGTTCTTATTCACTAAAAGAAACATTGTTTTCAGCACTGACACTGGGAGTAAAACATGAAAATTCCAACCAACTAGGCCTGTGTATCCCACATTACAAGTAATCTTTAGAGATTTGTTAGAGATGGAAAGCTTCTCATTATTTGGTAGATAAAGTCAACAGTGACCCAAATATCGGATTGTCTCTTTCCCCCAACATCTGTGTTTTATTTCTACCCATAAAAAGGGCCACATGCTGAAGTACCTGAGAGACCTCTTTTTCAGTATCTCCCTGAGAAACTGGCCCTAAAAGAGAATCTTTACTGACAGAGGTGTTGGATTGCACTGATTTTGTTAAGAGGAAGGCAGCAGTCCAGCTGAATAATGGCCATTACCTGAACTTTTAACTGACTTTGGTTAGCCAAGTCCAGCAGTCGGCCAAGTATTTCTGCACTCCCAGTGTCTCGGTTTCTTCTGCTCTGTTCTCCTTTTTTCTTTCAATTAGGGCTGCATCAAGAACTTTTCTTTGATTTATTTCCTGCCTTTTGGGTTTTGTTTTTTTTTTTTTAAGCTTCACACCTTCTTGATTTTAGTTATGCTGATTTACCACTTTGACTGAAATATGCCAACAATGTTAGATGTAGTACACATTCACGCTCCCCTGATGGCGAATCTTAAAGTAAACCTTTTATGCACCTTTTTAACACATTATGACCCAAGCATTTTGGATTTATCTGAATTAGTTAGTATTGTTTCAATTCTTCTATTTTATTGTTTCTATTGTTATTATTGTATTACACTGTAGTTTTTAATTTTATTGTTATTGTTAAGCACTTTGTGCAGCATCGGCTGTTGGAAATGTGCTATATAAATAAATCTGACCTTGACCTTGACCTTATGCCTTTCCTTGTTTTCTGACATATACGGTTAAAATGGAAGATACATAAAAGGAATCTTTTTGGGGTAAAATCTCAGGTTTCTAACTGCTCTGAAAGCTTGTTTTTGTCTTCTCTACTCATTGACGTCACATGAAGGAATATCCTAATATGGTCATCTCAGGCATATACTTCTGACTTCAAGCACAGAAGCCTGACAACTGTTTTACAACTTGCCATGAAATTTGCTACAGATATTCAGGTTCCCTTGTGGATATCTTAAAATGACTTTCAGTGAAATAGTTTGACATCTCCATGGATCCACTGGCCTAGAATTTTGTACAGGTCTCCGTTTCCCAGAAAAGAATCTACTGTCAATTCCCACGACATAGATAAACCTGACTTTCTCTTGACATGCACAAAATATTCCCAGTGTTTAAATGCATGCTTTACACATGCAAAATCAAAAAGGAAAAAAAAAATTCTGAGCTTCAGGGAAAATTTATCAACCCAAGTCTTCTGACTAATCGTCTTTCGTGTTCCCCCTTTAAGCTTGCCAATAATCTCCAAAGGAGGCATACTTTCCCCCTTTGAGGCCGATAACCATCTCCCACTGCAGACTTCAGGCTTTAATGTACGCTTGCCTTGCGCTGGTGATGGCTCAAGGAACGTGTAAAATGCCACTTGGCTCAACGTTCACACAAGCTGTTTCTGAAACTGTACCCACCACCACTCTCAACCCCTCGGCCCTTATCAAAGACTGAGGACAATCAGTGGTTTATCGCTGCTGGAAATGAGTGCAGGAAGCAGATGTTGTTCTGATTAAACACACATACACACACACATTAATAGACATACTGTATGCCAAGTGAGCAGCCCCTGCTGCTGCCTCTTGGCCCGAGAGGAGTTGTCCAGAGTCATGATATCTGCTGAGCGTGTGCTGAAGAGCGAACAAACTGCCAACAGACGGGCCACAGCTACGAATCTGCCTGATGTGCTACCTTGGCCCGTTCCTTTAGTTACATAAGCCATCAATTACACCCAATCATGTAACACGGTGCTCCATGTGTGATAGCTAGGTTATCAGCTCTCCTTTACGGGCATAATAGCTCCAACAACAGATGAAGGGAACGCCACGTACGTGCACGCATAAATGAGAGGCACAACGATCATCATGTACTTTCTACTTTAATAAGAATGCACTTTGGCACCCCATTATTTTTCTTCACTTTAGGCTATTATTTTACAAACTAGATATAAAAGGACATAAATAAATGACATAAGTTACATGTACCTAGAGTTCATTGACCAAAACAAAAACAAAGCAAAAGAAAAAAAACTGAAAAAATCATGACCATGCCCCCCCCCCCCCCCCCCCCCCCCCCGGCCCAAAAAAAACAAGTACAAAAAAAGATTGAGAGAATGTTAGATCTACATGGCTAGATCATATGGCATCGGAAGGCATACAATGACAAACATTAACTCTTGCTTTTTGTTGTTGATTTTTTTTGTTGGTTTTTTTCTTTTTAAATCATCTGACATTTAAGTAAAGGAAAAAAGTATTTTACAGTACATTCTAGTTTCATTCTCTTTCCCAGCATGTCTTGCATATTTCCAAACAGGTCCTTTTGTCCACAGATAACCCCAACATCCGAAAACACACTGCTAAAAAAAAAAAAAGGAAACAGTAGAGCTGTATTAAGGATGGAGGTGTTTCTTTCATATTACATGAAGCATCACTTACGAGTTCAAAACATTCACATAAGTATAGTTTAAAGAGATAAATGAGCAAAATATCCATCGTTAAACCTGTAACTGTATGTTGTGGTCTGAATATTAAAAAAAAAAAAAAAGCAACAACAAAATTAAAAAACAAAATTAAAAAACAAAAAAAAGCATAAACAGTTCTCCCTCCTTAGACACCATATTCCTCACGCCACTTGCTTCTTTAAAGGTGTGTCATTTAGAATCTGTTCTCCCCTCCCACCCCACATCCACGTGGAGAAGACGGCGCCAACATTTCCTCCTCGACTTGTCACGGGCTCGCAGTAGTCTGAGGTCCAGATTGATGCGATTGTACGCACGGGGAGACCGTTAGTCACGTGCAGCTCTGTAGTCTCCATGTGTCCATTCACAAGCCGTCGTCGCTGCCGGAGCAGGAATGGGTCGGATTCCATGAAAGTTGTTTTAACAAATGCTGTTGCTGAGTAAAGTTTGCACAACATGACCGACACACCTTACAATGTTTTTCCTTTTTTTTTCTTTTTAGACGACACAAAAAAGCAAAAAAAAAAAAAGAAAAGAAAGAAAAAAGTCTTTTTTGTGTTTTTTTTTAATATCAAAAACTATACAACTCTGTTATCTCCTCCTCCTGCACAGTGGCATGAAAACAGACACATTTACTGATAGTACTTCAAAGACGTTGCCACTCACAGAGACGCACACACCCACGTGCACACTCGTCATCGCATTCGCTCAAATAAAACTCTTGTTACTTTACATGCAAACAGAATGAAACAATAATTAAAAAAAGCAAAAAACAACACACAAAATAAAACCAAACTTTCAGGAAAAAAATAATCATCATCATCATCATCAGCTGGAGAGGGGCTCCTCCGTTATTTTACATTCTTCCTTTGTTCTCTTTTTGATGCTGTTAAATTCATTCAGAGTAATTCCAGCGCGGGGCCGGATTGATGGACGGCGACGAGTTTGTCAAGTTGACGTGTTTTGAGGGACAGCGGACGTCTCAGACGCTCGAGGGGGTATACATTTGTCATCTCTGTGTCGGTGAGGAGTGGAAGGGTAGCCAGGAGGAGGAAGACAAAGAAGGAATAGCGGGGAAGAAATCCAGTTGTGGTGAGGGAGCGAGGGAGGATGGGATCCTGTTTGTGATGGACGGCAGCAGCTGGGAAGAAAAGAGGAAAAAAAAAAGAGGAGGAGGAATGAGAGGCTGCATCAGTCACGGTGGTTTAGAACATAAACAATTTCTGCTTGGCATCCAGTTCTGACCAACAACCCTGCTCGCCGGCTCCAGCTCCATGGAACATTCGACTCATCTGCTAAACAAAAACCGAGCGCCAAAGCCAGAGCGTCCAGAGTCTGCGAACTGCTGGCCTGAGGGGGCGAAATATGGATTTCCAGGCAAGAAGTGTACTAACTTCTGCGTGCCACATGTTGCTCTGTGCGCACAATATATGAAACATGCCCTCGACTTATTGGCGCACGTCAAAAACTCAACGATTTAATTCCTTTGTAAAGTTGTCAACATTTCACAGGCAAGAAGTGATTGATCGTTTACAATTAACCACACGTTCAAGAAGATCTTTAATAAATGATAGACACTGATATAATAAGAAACACTAATAATTAGAAACAACTGCCTGTGTAACAAAACATGTATATAGTCACACATATACAGTAACAAAACCAGAAACACTCTTCTGGTGTGTTGCTAAGACAAAACAAGCAATGCGACTACACCGGCTTGAGCTTTGGCTAATCCTGCATAGACAAAAATTAATTAATTAAAACGCAGCGAGAAGTAACCAAACGTTCCAACACTCGACTTTTAATAACAGAGTTTTTTAGAGAATGCTGGTGAGGGTTCTGCTGCTCACTTGTTTGCAAGGAGTCACCACAGCAGATAAATCAAATGTTTACACCAGATTCCCTTCCTGACTCAACCCTCCCAGGGATCCGTGTCTCCTCACAATCTCAAACCGAGGATCTTTTGCATGTTACAACTGATCGATTTGCCTCAAGTATGAAAACACTCCTAATTGAGCCAATCTGACAACTGAAACATTCTCTTTAAAGATATTTATTACATGTCTCTTTATTGGAATTATTGTAGGGTCTTTGCCTCAATACAAAGTGTCTTGAGGTGATACATAAATAGAACTGAATTGAGTTGAATGTATACTTAAATGCCACTGAGAAGTTTAGGATTTCCATAATACTGCACACAGTGTTAGATAGTTTGGCTTTTTTCAGAAAGTAGGGACTTTTTACTCCACTCGCCTACATGTAAACATTCATTTTCTAGATCTGGTTCATCTTACTTTCCACTGTGTTAACAACCTTCCATCACAGAACCAGACGGGGGTTTGCATCTGGGGGTTTAACTGGCACTGTACTCACGTAAAATATGAACAATTACTTTTGGTATCTAGTTTCTCTCTTGTCAATGAGGACAGTCAGCTGTTTCACATCCATACTGCTTTACCAGTATCAAAGTGGTAGCTGTGTCCAATAAATCAGTGTTGAATAAATGAAACTAAGCCTTGAACTGTGTAAGCTTAACCTTCACTTTATTACCTTGTGGGCAAGTGCTAATTTATGCACATAAATTATGATGCTCAAATTATTTAAAAAAAAAAAAGTCAAATAAATCTGGCCACGGGTTAACCAACAAGAGAGCAGTACGTAGCATCTGATATGCCAAAATTAATTAAGACCCTGCGTTAGGACCCTCTGGTACCGTGACAACGTGCTGGTGTGTTGGCTCAGAAGAAAGTTAACACCCCAGAGCGCCTCTCTTCGTTCTTGGAAAGTGCCTTGGAGCTCTGCTGGGCTCTGTCAGGCTCAATGGGAGTCAGCCGCTGATAAATTTTTCTCATTAATATGCCAGAGGCATCAGGCCCGCAGACTGATCACAGACCAGTGGCTATTGATCCGCTCTTGCTGCCTGAGGTGGAGCAACCTGCTTGTTAATTAACACGGCTTCTAGAGCTGAGGGGCCAGTGATAGGGGGATCTAATGACTCTCACAGGCACTCTGTGGTTATATTAGAAGCACACTTCGATAATAAAGGGAGCTTTAATCCAATGTCTGTATTTTCTTTTCTTTAATAGAGTTGTTTCTTTGCTAAGTTTTGGTAACAAAATGAAAACAAAAGACTGTCAACTCTCACCTTGATCCTCCATCGTTTTCTTTTTCTTTTTTTGAATATTTCCTGACGCTGATGACTCTTTCTGCATCCCTGTTGCCCCCCGTGTCCGATAACGTCTTGGCAAATTTCTTCATCTCACATTCCGCTTATAAAACCAACTCATGTGGTCCAAACGGGCGTCCGTCAAAAGTGGTGTGGAAGAGTTGGTTGGTCCTGCAGTAGTGATGGGGATGGGACTTCGATCCACGTGGGGAGATGGATGGGAGAATCCGAACTGCGTGTTTATTGAAGGTGTAGCAGGGTGGGATTTTATTTATTTTTTTTGACTGTGTTTTTTTTGTTTTTGTTTTTGTTTTTTTGGGAAGACAGGGGAGTGGAAAGGCTCCTCTGGAAGATCAAAGACATTCTCAGAAATGTCCTGAGGGCAACATAATACAGCGATCTGGGAGAAAAAAAACAGGCCAGAACAGAGCAAAAAACAAAAAAACGCAACACAAATAGCTCCTTAAAATAAGCCCTCCCTGCACAGCCATCTTGACCCCTCCCCCCCCCGAAGAATCCAACCCCCAGCCTGTCAGAGATTCACTGTTTATATCTGACGGCTAGGATTGTCCATTTTTTCTGGAAGATATCAAACAGTTCCAGCTGAGAGAGAGAACAATGGTGGCCGGGGCAGCCTCTGAGTCCCACAGAAACAATTCATGTACAATAAACACAGAAAATCAAAAAAAAAAAAATGCTCTGTGGATTATTCCAGAGAGAAAGTTCCAGAAATAACACTCTCTGCAAAAGGAGGAAGAAAAGGTACGATCCCCCTCCCCCGCTTTTCATTCCAGACCATTAAAGGCACTCCAGATTGGCCTCTCGGAAGCACTTTTCCAGCCGTCCCCTCCATCTATCCATAAATGCTGCAGATAGAAGTGTCCCATTCTCCAAAAACAACTAAAAGGGCAAGGTAAAGGTATGATTTTTGAAAAAAAGGTGCCATTTGCAACACTTTTTCCCTTCTTCATCAATGTCTTCTTTTCTTTTAGATCCAATTTAAAGTGCATGGATGAGGTAAACTATTTCTTCATAGTTGATTTGTCTCTTTTTTTAATATTTAATCTTTTTTTGTTATTTGTTTTTTTTTCATAAGAAACAAAGTCGTTTTGCTTCCTTTTTTCTTTGTTTTAATCTTCTCAGACGGGAACCATTCTGCCTTGCATCTGTTGCATTTGGGATAGCATTCCCTGGACACTGGTCAGGATCTTGTTCTGGTGCGCTGCGGAGGAGATGCCTATGCGTGCCATGTCCCTGAAAAGGATTGGGAGAAGAGGCCTTTTAGGACCGAGGACAACAATAACATGCACACGGAGGCCTGATCCACATGATGAATTTTACAGCCTACCAGTGGAAACTGGTCTGACAGTTTAACTGCTGTATAAGGAATTTCACTTGCCAACACGGCAACTCTAATCGTGTAATCTTAGCAGAAGAAAAATGTGGATATAATAAAGAAGTGACAAATTTAACTCATGTTTTCCTTTCTAAATGTGTCACAGAATACCTTAATAAGGGGATAACAGAAACTGTGTGCTAAAAATGAAGCAGAGACACCGGGGGAACCGCTTAACTTGACTAAAAACTTAAGCAGAGGGAAACAGCCAAAAACATGCTCCAATTACTTGAGCTAACTAGCATAGCTTAGCTTATCCTTAACATCTGAAGCAAAGTTAAGTCGCTAGCAGTGTGCTCAAATTATTTGAGGTGACTGGATTAGATTCATTTAGTTTATTTTAGTTCATATATAACTGAAGCAGAGGTAACATAGTAGCTTAATTCCTTGAATTATTTTTGAAAACTAGCTTAGCTTATTTTAGTGTAAATTCTAAAAGCACAGTTTGCCAGGAGTATTTCAGGAAATTAGCTTATTTTTGCCTGACGTAAAACCGAGTGTTTGCGTATGAACACAACATGTTTCTAAGCTGTTACATTTGGAAACAGCAGGTTGGCTGTTTTCATGTCTTATGCTCAGCTTAGCTTTATATTTATGAAGGTGTTTTAATCTGTCTCTCTTTGAAAAGGTTTAATGAGAAAATGTGATTTCACCGTTTTGTCATAAAATAATAGATAAACACAGTTGTTGCTAATCATGTCTCCTAAGATCTCTAGTAATGTCTAAATAGGATCCCAGTGACACCACTTGCCCCAGCCAGTTGGCAACTGTGTTCCCAAACAGCTTTGTAATGCTGCCCTAAAACCTCTTCACAGTTGTTTTGGTTGTGAGGATATTCCTGCAGGCACGGGTAGTTTGCGTGGAAATCACTGACTTGCCTGCAAACTCTCACCAACTACTTGCAAACTGGATGGCAAACTGAAAGGGGAGACCATTCATCTTAAAAGTAGATGTTTCATCTTTTGAAACAACTTTCACTTACTCTGTTTCCGGTTTGTGCCACACTTTTGCAGGTTTTTCTTCTGCTCTGTGGTAGATAAGTGGGTGTTTGCAAACAAGTCACCGTCTGCCATGGAAACTAAGAGCGACCTGTCGACCCACTAGTAACCAAAACAATCACAAGGAGGTGGTGCAGCACCCTCTTTGTAAACTGTTTGTAATGGTTTGTGTGAGCTATTACAAACTCAATAATAGCGTAACAAGTTAAAGAAAAATCATAAAATTGCCTACTTTTACAAAAACTTTCCTATTTCACTGTGATGCTTGGCATTTCCTTTAGTTTTCTGTTTCATTCTCCTCATCCTTCAAAATCACTTGCAGCATGGTAAAAGTATGATTGTGGGCAAAGTGCTTACTCTTGCGTCATGTGGACCACGGCCTCTGGAGTTGTGTAGCCGGCGGCCGTGAAGTTATCGCAGTATCTCTCCATGCCGATGGCCTGCAGCCAGTCCTCCACTGTGCCCACAGCCGCGGACACCTCGGGACTCCCTGGCTCAAGCAGGGTGGTAGTGGGCCTGTAATAGGTGGAGAAAAGTGACGAGGTTATTTCACGAAATCAAACTCCTCGTTGTGTTTAAAGCTACTGCACTGTATGCAGCTGTTTGCATGTAGATGATGAAAGCCAGTTGTTCAAGTGCTTTTTACTTGAAGCATAATCATCTCCATCTTTGATTACCTCCGATTCACCTCAACTGCAGCAACGGCCACATTGCGGGAATTATTCCATAATTCTTAACTATGCTTCTGTGCTGTAGTGTCAAAAATGTGTGACAATTACAAGCTGTAAAAAGCACCGAGCTACACTTCTCCCTAGCTTGTCCTCCCTGATTGAAACACCAAATGTGTCAGCTTAGCAATTTTGTATTTTTTTTGTGTCTGTATTTTGCAGGCTGCACCCAAAAACTGAGCCAAGTCAAACACAGCTCCTCCTCTGGTGTCACCGATACAGTTAGTTAATCCTTATTTCACAGAAAACACACAACCTGGGCACACTTCGGTGAATTTTACAGTGTGCTTGGAGTCCCTCTTCACATTCAGATATTCATCAGCATATTTGTCCTCCCTCTTTTTTCCCTGCCTTTCTCCCTTTCTGTGGCAGCAGCTGTGAAACATTTACACGAGGCCGGTGAGTCTGAGTCACACTTGTCCCGCTTGGGTAAGTCTTGCGCTCTCGGCCTCTTTATCGTTCTCTCCTTTTTAAAAAGGATGTCGAGTAGAGCTGTGAGAACTGGATGTCAGGCTCTTTATTAAGTCGTCACTTCTAAGTAGGTGGAAAAGATTATGCGCAGGGATACCTTCCCACACACACACATACTCTTCTTTCCTTTTTGTAACCGTAGAGCTGCAGTTATAGGATTCAGCTCTGCTAATTACTCTACACAGACTCCACGCTTGCTCTCGCTGTATCCTATTAGGAGTGCGCATCTGTGTGCGATCGCGCAACCCGCTCGTGTGCGCTCGCACACTCGTTAAACTCAAACAGACTCCCGTCGGCCTGCGTCGAGTCTGTAAACACACAAAGGTCATCCTTAACACGTTTGGCTGCTCAAGAGTAATGGTGTTGGAGACGTAGGGTCGTGTTTGTTTTTAACTCGGTGTAACGTTGTAATTCCTCCCCCTGTTAGAGCGCCTAGATTCCTGTGTGTAAAGCACCATTAAAGCTAGTTTGCAGAGAAAGCCATTATGGAGGTTGTTTGCGTTGTAACGAGCCACACGGTGCTGGCAGATAATGTTTAATGGTGAATGTAAATAGCGGTGACAGAGTGGGACGCTGTGTGTGTGCGCGTGTCAGTACGTTGGTGTGGCTTCTCAAATATTATGTGTTATGGAAATTTTGATGCTCTCATACAGAACTGTATGTAGACGAGAAGCAGATGATGAAGAGTATGAAATACAGATGCATTAATTATGAATGTCAACGTGATATCGAGGTTGACAGGTGAACGCACGTGTTACAGCAGGCAGTCACCTCACTCTCAGACTCTGCTCTCACACAGAGCATCTTAACTTGTCTCAGGCCCACTCTCAACATACGGCTCTCATTTTCCTGCAGCTGGCCGGTCCTCGAGAACCATCATAGAGCCCAAACAGAAAATAACCCATTGAAGTATCCAAACAGTATTTGTATTACTTTTATACAATTTGCTGTACTTTGCAAATGTGGCAGTGAATGTGTGACTAGCACATTTCCAGGCTGTTTAATTAAACTAAATGGGAAATTCCTGTAACACAATTGCCAATTTATTTTAAATTAAGTGTAATAAACCTATATAATTGTCAAATTTCCTGATAATGTTAATTAGCTCATTCAGTGGATTCCAGAGCGATCTTCCCTTAACAGCCACAAGGCAGCAAGCTGATTAAATAATTAATTCCTATTACGCAATCAGAGCAATCTTAGAAGTCTGACAGAGAAAACTGTTTTAAGATGTTGCTTTTTATTTTATTTTCACTCTCCTGCTTTTATGCATATGGACTGATACTGTTTAAGCCCGAGACTGTGTGACCAATATTGGGACTGCTCATTGCTAAGATTAAAATATCCTCTGAAAACACACTCAACACTAACTCAACCATCACCTTATGATATTTCCTGTCATCGTTCATTTTCCAAAGCACAAACGGAACTGAAAACTCTTCCTCTTTTCAGCCCCTTGCGTCATTCTCCTTCCTCTCACCTGACGGTGGTCTCTCCCCCGGTCCTCTTCAGGGTGTTGGGGTTGCGGATCAGTTTGTCCAACATGTTGACTATTTGCCCAAACTTTGGCCGGTCGGCCCTCTCTCTCTGCCAGCAGTCTAGCATGAGTTGGTGGAGTGCCACGGGGCAGTCCATGGGCGGGGGCAGTCGATAGCCCTCATCAATGGCCTTGATCACCTGGATAGCAGATAAATGTGGCTGTAAGACTTTATGACTGAGCAGAAGTGTTATAAAAACTTCAGGCAGTTTGATTACTTTGTCATTTTTATAACTTTTTTCTTAATTACTGTACTTTACACACCTACACAATACATTATCTTTTTTTTTCCCTTTTTCATAATTAGTGGAACCACACATGTGAGCTCACTGCAATAAGGAAGAGGAACGCTCTGCTGGTGTTTCATCACAGCTGCAGGTAATTGTATAACTACGTTAAAATGATGAAGCATTCTTATAAAGTTGTTTGACATTACCCAGCCTTAATATCTCACAGTAATTCACCCTGTGCATTATTCATGACTATCTGCATATGATTACGTTGCTTCTGACTTACATCTTGGTTGCTCATGTCCCAGTATGGCCGCTCGCCGTATGACATCACCTCCCACATGACGATGCCGTAGCTCCACACGTCACTGGCCGAGGTGAACTTCCTATAAGCGATGGCCTCCGGGGCCGTCCAGCGGATGGGGATCTTTCCTCCCTGTAATTGAAAGCTGGGCTGATTAATGAAAGCCGACAAGTGAGGGTACAGACAGCCCGCTGACTCAGTCAGACAGATGCTCGCCAACACACAAACATGCTTGCACTCACCCTGGTAGTGTATGCGGCCTCGGGGTCGTCCTCCAGGACTCGGGACATGCCGAAGTCGGACACCTTGCACACCAGGTTGCTGTTAACCAGGATGTTGCGAGCAGCCAGGTCACGGTGGACGTAGCTCATGTCTGACAGGTACTTCATGCCGGAAGCGATGCCACGCAGAATGCCGACCAGCTGGATGACAGTGAACCGACCGTCGTTCTTCTGCGGGGGAAAAAAGAGAAACGCTCATCCTTATTACTGTTAAATGTCCACACTGTGACAAAAATGTCTGCTAAGTAAATACAGGGACACTTGTGAAGGGTCACTCCTAATAGCTCATTGGGTATAGTAATAAGTAATAGTCTTAAGGTTTAACTTTATAGCGTAAAGATCCGTAAGATTAGAAAAGACCTATAAAAAGTCCACTCCATTCCACATCTCCCTTTAACTAGCACTGTGCAACTGGTTAAGATGTATAGTGGACCTGTAGTGCTGTGAACCTGAGAAACACAAAGTTTCACCTGTTTCAACCTCATTGTCAGGAGAAAAGCGAGACGATAAATGGGAAGGACAAAGTGCGAATGTTTGTGAACCGACACTTGTAAATTTGGTGGATAACATGGGATCAGCGTTGATGCACAAACACGCATGAACACGTGTGTGTGGAGACAGAAACGCATGACTTACCCTCAGGAATGCATCCAGGGATCCATTTTCCATGTACTCTGTGATAATCATCACCGGTTTACCTAGAAAGAGAGAGAGAGAGTGGGAATAAGAGTGAGAGAAGGAAAGGCAGATGATTATAGAGGTAAACGACGCACATCACAGCTCAACGCAGCAGGAGGGGGCTCTCCAGGGAAAATGCATGTGTGTCTGTGTGTGTGAGGCCATCCATCTCTGTCCCATAGTGATTTAATTAGCTGTGTGTTACCGTTGCCCTGACGTCCCCCGTTTTTCCCTTAACATGCAAAGGCATCTCCACTGAAACAAAACACCACACACACACACACACACACACACACACACACACACACCATCTTGTGTTTATGCAAATATGATCTGACTCTGGGCGTATTATCCAAAGTCTCATCACAGTCACCCACCCAGAATCCCCCTAACTCGCTATTTCTGTCACTCACTGTCCCTTTGCCCTCTTTCTCCTCTGCCAACTTTCGACGCATCTGTCACTCTCCTGCTAGCTCATCTCTGTTGCTCTCTTTTTTCCCCCACTCCTCCCTCGCTCATTCCCTCTCCTCGTTTTTATCCTCCGTGAACCCTGCCAATCCTCTCTGGCCTTTTTTCACCCCATCCCTCTCTGTCTCTCTTGGGGGAGCGTCTGCGTCTTTATCTGAGCCGGGGCAGGCGGCGGGGAGGGTGGACATTCCCTGGTGGGTCTCTGTCTGTCTGTCTTTGTCTCTTAGGACGGAGGGAGGGAGGGGCATATCAGAGGAGAAGAGAGATAAAAAAGGGAAAGGAAGGGCGACCCGCTTGTTTTTGTCCCAAAACTGCAGCAAGCTGGTGCCTAACCAGCCACGGCAACAACACATGCTGAAAAGTGCTGCCACACATTCGCCTCCTAGAACAGCGTCGCTCTTTGTGCTCCATTTCGAGTGGCACAGTTAAGGTGGACTTAAAAGCTTACAGCCTTATAGAAAACTGCTGACTTAAAGCCTCCGCCTTAAGGGGAGCTTGTATGAAGCCTCTCGAGTGCTCCAGCAGAATGTCGAGAGCTGCAGAAGCCCGCTGAGAAGGTGAAGTTCCTCTGCTCTGCTGCGGGTCTCTGGCCGTGCCAAGAGGCCGTCAGTCACTGCCTTACCCGCTGCGTGATTGGCACTCCATTAATTACGGGGCACTCCGGCAATGCCCTAAAAAGAGGAAGTTCGGCGAAAGTTGTATGAGAGCAGAGGGGGCCGTCTTTGTCAGCCATCTTTGTTCCCTTTGTTGCGTGCCTCTGCCTCAGGGCCGCCGGTGATTGACAGCTCCGCAATCAAGTCTGAGGAGAGTCTGACCTGCGACCTTAAACTCTCGCCTTCCCAGCCCCGCCCTCTTCCTTCCAGGCCATTTGCATGCTAATTCCTTGTTTACTGAATACGCCCTGCCGCCTTTGGCAATGAACTCTGGGCGAGGAACCCACCAGTGGGCCGATTATCACCTGCCAACAAAACAGGGAGATGGCAGAGGGGGGAAAAAAAACGCGTCAGGGGGACAATATTGGGGGAACGTTGGGCAAATGTCCTCCGGAGGCCCTGGCGTTAGCAGCAAACAAAGATCTGGGTTTTAAAAGCGGACCTTTTTAAAAAAAAAAACCAGCACGCTCTTACTTCATGTAAATCACCCATTAAGAACATCACGTCTGATTTCAAGCTTTAATGGATGCTCGATTTTTAATTACACACCAACGTGATAGAAACATTAAATATAGCCTTCAAGATGGTGGACCACAGCCAGCAAGTCTTCAGCGAGAGATTTTTGCACATTTATGTATTTTAGTCCCTATTTGGAGTTCCTCCATAATTAATAAGCCTTAATTGGCTCTGTTGGACATGCCAGCAAACTGAGGCCAGATTGAGAATTCCTTTTAACTTGATTGTAATGGAGAGTGGGGCGCAATTCAAATAATGGATTTTTAATAGATTCCACTGACACACTCAAGTGTGAAGGACTAATTTGCCCAAACCTCGTGTCAAGCTCTCAAAAGTAAGAGTGGAAGGAGGTGGAGTGGGAGTTTTCGGACGCCCTTCTTGCGTTTGGTTCGCCGTCCTTTCACTCCAGCTCTCTTGTCACCGCTGCGTCGCTCCTTCCTCCCCCCCATCTTTTTGTTTTCAGCCTCCGGTTGAGTAGCTCGAGCACCCTCTGCTTTCCCTCTCTCTGCGTCGCCCTGTCTTTCCTCTCATCCATCAGCTCCTAACTGTCCGGCATCTCTATTTGCACCTTCCCTGGCAGCAGCTCGTCTCTGGTTTCTCTTCCTTTCTCCATCTGTCCGCCTTTTTTCTCTGTCGTTCTCACGCCGCTGCTGCGAGGTCTGAGAGGTCATTCCCCGCCATGTGAGGTGTGATAGGTGATAAGCAATTCTGCCTGTGCTGCTGTTCACTTTCAGCTCCGGCTGGGCTGCATGTTTGTGTGTGGGTATATCTATACATATATGTGTGTGTGTGTGTGTGTGTGTGTGTGTGTGTGTGTGTGTGTGTGTGTGTGTGTGTGTGTGTGTGTGTGTGTGTGTGTGTGTGTTCTACAGTGAGAATGGCAGTTTTATCTAGCACAGATAGAGATGAGCAGTATCACGACACATTAAGGCACATGTAGCCGAGGCTACATGGTAACACTCAGGCACACATGCATGCAATCAAAGGTACCGGATGTTGGCATGTGCTGACAAGACACCCACACACACAGCACACACCCACACACACATACCTATAGCCGAACAAATAACATCAGGGGAAGGTGTAAAAGAGGGGGAGAAACGGAGAGAGCACTGAGGGCAGGAGGAGGGAGATTTGGCCAGTGTTTTGTGGCCATGCAGCAGCAGATAGAGAAGGGATAGGGTATCACTCCCTAACCCCAAACACATTTACAGCTGACACCATGATTAATGAGTCTGGTGCCGTGCTACAGGGCCTGTTCCTGGGCCCATTAGACTCCCACACCCACCCCTCTCCCAACTGCCCAGCTACCTCTACAACCACCTCCCCCTCCACGGCAATGCTGGACCCCTTCCATCTGGACAGAAACCCACCTGGGGATAAGCCAGGATGGGACGTGCGGACGATGCTCAAAAATACGCATTTATCTGAGAATATTGTGAAATCTTTGTAAAATGTCCGCACAGAAGCATTAAGATATACACTAGTGCGCAGGCGTGTGAGTAAAAACAGGCTTGTCCCTACGCTCACCTTTCTCCAAAGTCACCCAGAACTGCACTTTGTGATGATTTATTGCTACATTTTTCGAGGGAGACAGCAGAAATGACTGCCCTTTTAGAATATAATAGTAATTGTATGTGTGTGAGCTAAGCATTATTGCAATTTCCAGAAGCAATTTCACCTGCGCAAAACACTTTCCTCCCCTCATTTGAAACACATTCTGTAAAAATGAATCCTTGACATACATTTGGTGACCACGCCCTCCAGGTGAATGATGTTGGGGTGGTCGAACTGGCCCATGATGCTGGCCTCGGACAGGAAGTCCCTCCTCTGCTTGTCTGTATAGCCAGCCTTCAGAGTCTTTATGGCCACGCAGATCTCCCTCTTGCCGGGCATCTTCAGGCGTCCACTGCAGACCTCTCCAAATTCCCCTGAATCAACAGCAAGAACAGCAAAAAAAAAAAAAACAGATGAAAATGTGAAGCGCTGATACACGAGCACTCTGATCCACAGACTATAAATCAAATCAAAAAGAGTGTGCCCCTACACGTCTGTTTGTGTGTGTGTGTGTCTGTAGGTTAGAAAGGTTCCACTTTAAACATTGATCAGGGTCTCTAATCCTTTACTCCCCCTCCTCCCTCCACCCACTGGAGCAGAGAGAGGGGGAAATGGATATTGATTCTTTCTCTTTATTATTTTGTCATTGGATGACTTTTCTCTGGCCCAAGGAATAGCATGGACAACGTATTTAGCCACTGTTGATTTTTTTTTTTTAACTTGTTGACCTCTCTAGAGCCAGAAGCCACATGTTAAAGTCTGGGAAAACAATGGATTTTAATCTCAAAGAGGCCACAAAAAGTCCACATATCACAGAGAAAGGTGTGTTTGTATGAAACAAATACAAAATGTGATCTTTTTCCAATAGGTATTCATGCATGTAATGTAGGAAAAAAAAATCTCCTCACCAATGCCAATCACTTTCTCAATCTTGATACAGGAGGCATCGATCTCTTTGGCAAACTCACGGACGGCCTGGTTGGGGTCCTCATAGGTAAAGGGGTCAACATATATTCTCACTCCTGGGGAACGAAGTTTGAAAAAAAAGGAAGCAAAGAGAGAAGGAAGTTAAAAAAAAAAGTGAAGGTTAATTTATTCCGACTACTACTCTCCATCTGTTCTTTATTTCCATCGTGCTGCAGGCTACGCTGCCTTCCTCTATGGATCCTCTCCTCCTCCTCCTCCTCCTTTCTTCTCTCCATACCTCGCTTCACACACTGACTCCAGCGCTTTTCATGTCACTATGGCTGACTCCAATGAAGATGGAGCTCATTAACTTGAAATTTTTGTGGCACACAAATAACAATGCTGATGACTTGATAATGAGGTGTTTGGAGCATGTTGGGTTGCAAGTACATTAACTTCAAAACAGTTTGTTTTTCCTCCCATTTTATGGGCTTCATTTGTGCACACGAGCATACCTGACAGCAATAATGTTTTACAATTATAAGGTCTGTAGGCGGAGTGTTAACTATGAGTTACCTTGATGTAAGTGCTTCTCTTCATCAGAGTCCTGCTTGGCTTTGCTGTATTTACTCCTTCTAGGGGGCAAAGAAAAGCAGAATGATCACTCATGGCAGGGAATCAAGCTTCAAATCTCAGGAAGTTAGAACACAATTATATCTTATACATATAAGATGAGATATGGATATTCCTTTTTTAATATAATTAAACAATGCTCATCACAAGGATTTTAATTGTCTGTGGGTTCTCAATCATCCAGTTCATGTGTCTTTTGCCCCAAGTCCACTTGCCTTCTTTTTTCAAGCTCTCAGGAAAGATGATTTAAAATATCATGTTATGATAAAACCTTTAAAAATAGTTAAAACCTTTTGCAAGCTCATTTTCTTGCTTATGTGTGGCACATTTATGTCTGTAAAGTAAATACATCGAACACATCGGACTACAAACACGCACATTACAAACTCCGGAAGACGATCAAAGCAGCCAAACGTGAGTACAGGGACAGGGTGGAGCAACAGTTTGACAACCCTCGGAGTATGTGGCAGGGACTAAACACGATCACAGACTTTAGAGGGAAAACCAGCACACCGCAGACCACGGCCTCTCTGTGTGAGGATCTAAACGTATTCTACGCTAGATTCGACACAGCGAACACCATGAGACCGGACTGTGTCTGAGGAGGATGTGCGGAGGTGCTTCAGGAAGGTGAACGCACGCAAAGCTACTGGTCCGGACGGGATTCCCGGCCGCGTCCTCAAGTCATGCGCGGCTCAGCTGGCTGGAGTGTTCACACACATCTTCAACCTTTCCCTCTCTCTGTCTGTAGTCCCAGCCTGCTTCAAAATGGCCACCGTCGTCCCTGTACCCAAATCCTCCACCATCTCCTCATTGAACGACTGGCGACCTGTAGCCCTGACCCCCATCGTAAGCAAATGCTTCGAGAAGCTGGTCAGGGACTTCATCTGCTCTGCACTACCCGACTCACTGGACCCTCTACAGTTTGCATACCGCCACAACAGGTCCACTGATGATGCCATAGCCCTGACACTACACACTGCCCTGTCACACCTGGAGAAGAGAGACACGTATGTGAGGATGCTGTTTGTAGATTACAGCTCAGCATTCAATACCATCGTTCCCTCGAAGCTGGACAGGAAACTGCAGGATCTAGGACTGAGCAGCTCCCTCTGCAGCTGGATCCTTAGCTTCCTGTCTGACAGACGCCAGGTGGTCAGACTGGGCAGCATCACCTCATCCCCCATCACACTGAACACTGGTGCTCCACAGGGGTGTGTACTGAGCCCTCTCCTGTACTCACTCTACACCTACGACTGCACAGCCACTAACAACTCCAACATCATTGTGAAGTTTGCGGACGACACTACAGTGGTGGGTCTTATCACCAACGGTGATGAGACGGCTTACAGGGAGGAGGTCAGCGCCCTGACCCACTGGTGTCAAGACAACCATCTCACCCTCAACGTCGCAAAGACAAAGGAGTTGATAGTGGACTTCCGGAGGTGCAGAGAAGTACACACCCCCATCACCATCAATGGCGCTGCTGTGGAGAGAGTGAGCAGCTTCCGGTTCCTTGGAGTACATCTGGCTGAGGATCTTACGTGGTCAGTACACACAAACAAAACAGTGAAGAAGGCGCAGCAGCGCCTCTTCTTTCTCAGGAGACTGAAAAGATTCGGCATGAGCCCCCGCATCCTCAGGACCTTCTATCACTGTGCCATTGAGAGCATCCTCACTGGATGCATCACCACCTGGTATGGCAACAGCACCGCTTACAACTGCAAAGCTCTCCAGCGAGTAGTGCGGTGCTCTGAACGGATAATTGGAGGTGAGCTTCCCTCCCTCCAAGACATCTACAGGAAGCGCTGCCTGAGGAAAGCGGGGAGGATCATCAAGGACTCCAGTCACCCCAGCCATAAACTGTTCAGACTGCTTCCATCAGGAAGGAGGTTCTGCAGCATCCGGTCCCGTACCAGCAGACTGAGAGACAGCTTTTTCCATCAGGCCATCAGACTGCTGAACACGTCATAGACACCTCAGCTTCACTACTGGAACTTCAACATTATGCACTCCACACTGTATATAAATGCCACTTGTTTTGCACATATTCAACTCTGTATATTATATATATTTTATTATTATTATTATTATTATTTATTTTTTTTTTTTAACTATTTAATTTGTAAAAATGTGTATACACACACACACACACACACACACACACACACACACACACACACACACACACACACACACACAGGAAAATATTTAGTATACACATCCAGAAATGCATACACTATTATATATTGTACATATATTTATTAGTTTCAGGTTGGCCATTCTTGTATTTTGCTCGTTTGTGTTGTTGTGTTTGCACATCTCTGTTGCTTGTGGGGCTCGCACACAAGAATTTCACTCGCATGTGCTGTGCCAGTGTGCCTGCACATGTGATGTGACAATAAAAGTGATTTGATTTGATATTTTGCCCCCAGTTGGCTGGAAAAAGGGGCATGTGTGTGTTTTTGATTGGCTACCAGACTTCCTCAAACAAAAGACGTTACTTCTTAGCTCTTCCTCCATATTTCAGGGAAATTCATCTATAGCTCTCAGAATAAATCTATGGGGCCAACATGAACCTGTGTCCCCATTAAAGGAAGGGTTTCAGGTGACTAGTTACTAAAGAAATCCTCGTGAGGTGACAAAAACAATGCTGGAAACCAAACCCTAATCTTTATGTTCATATTGCACACGTGGACTACTTTTTCCATTTTCTGACCCTGTTACCTGAGATTTTGACCATGCTTAAAGATGATAATCCACAATTGTAGACGTAAATATAGCACAAATATGTACCGATACCCTTTAAGACTGTGTAATAATAATACAGTCTTATTAGTATTATGCAAAAACTAAATGATTACTTCATAAAATACATATCAGTGCAACAATAATAGTAATAATCCAAATAAATACTATAAGTGCCTTTAGTTTAGATGTTTGTTGATAACAGTTTTACTTCGATATATTTTTTGCATCAAAGTCAAGTGAGAAATCTTCCAACATTGAAGCTTCCTGAAGGGCACTGAGCGTATAACAACAACATGGAGCAGAGAAGCTGAACGAATATAAAAGCTATAAATCAATTCTAGAGAAGATGCACTTAAATCCCTGCGAATCCCTCAGGCTGCCTGACACCTGTGCTTATTATTGACGTGTTAAGGTCAGTGGTGGAAATGACCAGATGTGCGAGACATTGTCCTCTTCTACGGCTGTGTAATGATGGTAAACGGCTACGTGATTACAGTCCCTCCCCACAATCACAGGATGAACGCGGCAGCACAATGACAGTGGCCGTCACATGCATATAAAAAAGCCTGAGACAACCACCTGCTTGGCTGCAGAGAGAGGCAATCACATGGAAAAGAGAGCACACACACACACACACACACACACACACACACACACACACACACACACAATCAACAGCCCCCTTCACTCCCTATCATTCACAGCACCAATACACACATGCAAACAGTGATTTGGTCAATTCAAGAATCAACACACAAGCCATTGACACCCCCCTCCCCCCACTGCCACACCACACGCACACAAAACTTTATTTTTTTTCCACAGGATGTATGCACTCGCACCCCTAACACATATGGAAGCGCACACAAACACAAACACATGCAGAGAGTGTGTGTGGTTTTACACCCTGAGGTGAGGCAGCCCCATCTGCATGTAATCCCATCTGTGTGATGGTGCTTTGTCCTGCTCGCTGGTTAACACCCTGAGATTGGGTCACTGCAAATCCACCTGATGCCTCTCAGCCTCGTCCTCGCTCTATTCTATCTCCTACTTTTTCCCGCTTATCTCATTGTCCACCCTCCCGTCGCTCTCTCATTCTCGTCGCGGCGGTCAGCAAGGTGCAGCAGGAGAAAATAACTAGCGGCAGGATTACAGCCACTAGCTGAGAGATAGTGGGAGAGGGACGGGGTGGAGTGGAGGCGGGTGGGACTATGCGAAGGGAGCGGGCTGGATGCAGAGGACAGGGAGCGAAGGGTCGCTGATTGCATCCCTTCAGCTGTCGGAGCTGTCAATCACATCTCCGGTGTGGCGAGTCATCACTCATCCGACGTGAGCGAGTTGCACTAGCTGTCTGGGAGTGTTAGTGTGTGTATGTGTGTGCTCTTTTGAGTGACTTCCATTTCCTGACGGCACTAAGTAAGACATCCCTCATCTGTGTGCCGAGAAAGAGAGATAGACAGAAAGCAGAAGGGACAGAGTTCGATGGAAGGGCGGGGGTGGGTAGCGAAGCTCACCGTCGGCTGATGACGAAAGCACTGATGAGGATGATGAGCAGAACCACGCTGCCCACCACTGACACCAGCAACACTGTGGAGTTGGCCCCGTCGCCGATAATGGGAGCTGGGACTATCAGAGAGAGGAGAGAAAAAAGGTTGACGAGAAACAACAAAAAAAGAGCAAAGTAACTCGATACCCCTCATCCCTCCGCCTCCTCCTGTCCCCACGCAGTGTTTGCTCGCTCTCCCTCCATTTTACTATTCTGATCATAAAGTCCACTGTTTCGCATGCTTCATTGGGAGACAATGACAGCCCATTAGGATGTGAGCTTGACCGTGTCATTATCATGCGCTGCTGTCTCTATCTGCATTACAAAAGGGACACCTGGGCTTCTAGTGGATCTCTCTAGCCCTCTGTGTCATCAGTAACGGGAAACATTATGTGGAAATATATTCACTGGACCAAAAGCTGAATGCTAAGAAAACACAGAAAGCTGAGATTAGATTTAATAGGCCACATATTATTATTGGAGTGATGGTGCTGTTTACCACTACTTACAAGCTACTCGGGTGCATAACAACTGTTTTGTGTGTCACCCGTTGGCACACAGACCATCATCTTAGAGGCCAAGTCCACCATAAACAGAAGCTCTAGCAGGTGGACGGCTGGTGTATGTACCGTGCTGTCAGACTGGAGAGATTACTACTCAGTTATTTATCGTCACAAAGTATGTACGATATGTATTGTTATAGACGTGCCCAACTCGTGCCCCTTTCACCACCACAAATGCAGTCTGATGCCAAATCTTTGCTTCAGAGAGAAATCTGTGTCGTAACTTTAATCAGAGACCCCTCTTAACCCTGCACCAAAACCTTCCACGCCAATGAGAGTCGTTGCAGGCGGGTTGCGTGTAGTTACATTTCTCTGGAGGTGCACGTCAGGTTACGTAGAAGGTTGTGGCCTCAGGGTTAAGAGGGGTTCCCGGTTATGCAGATTTCAAGTTGAAGCACAAGTCGGGCATTAGTCAGTAGTAAAATTCTTCCTGAAAAAACAGACTTTCATTTACATCTTGCACAGTTTTCCTCATTCATTTCCCCTCAAAGGAGTTTTATAAGGTCATGTTATTCCACTCTGTCTTATAGCATTTGATTTATTTTGTAACAGATTTTCCCAAGTTTTTATTTTTTTGCTACTCAGTATCAAATGGAAATCTTTGGAAACTGTGGGATCTCCACTAGAATTTCAAATAAACTTCTCAGGGTCTGAACAAGTTTTGGCTGCACTCTATATCACTGTAGTAAGTAACCCACTAGTGGGTTAGTGAGGTTTGAGAGGCTAATCTGAAATTGTGATCAGAGTCCACCTACACAGGCGCTGTTGCTCCGGTTATCACAGGGTTTGTGTGCCTTAGACTCTGGTAGAGAAATGAATACATTTATTTTGGCTTGAAACTGATTCAATTAAAGAGTTCTGGCGAGCAGTGAGAATTATCTAGCAGCAGCTTCTGACTGAAAACGCCACAAATGGTGCCATTCTTCAAAGCTTCATACAGTTTAAACATCAGCTGGCACGTCTACTGAGGCTGATACTCAGACGTGAATAATGGAAGATATTCAAGTTGCCAGTCAGGTGCCGGAGGACAATATCATTTATCTTTTATAGACAACAGCAATTTTGATTAATGACTCTCCAATGAAAGAGACAAACTTGTAAGAGATGCTATCATTGTAGGAATTTTTCAGACACTGCCGTGGCGGAGCTGGAATCAGGCCTCTCTTGGCTCTGCAGGGAGAAGAAGACGAAGATGAACAGGCAGTGTGACTTAACTCACCCGAGTTGGTCATGAACTCAAACGGGCCGCTGAATTCTCCGTAGCCGGCCGCTGTGCGAGCCCGCACATGGAAAACATAGGAGGTGAGGGGGGTGAGGCCCTTGATGTCGGTGCTCCTTGATGAGGTTTTTATGATGCGGTAGCTTCTTTCATTCTGGTCCTACAGCGGGACAGGAAAAAAAAAAGAAAGAACACAATACAACTTATTCAGAGGCTGCTTTTGCTTTGACGGTTCAGCAGAAACAAAATCTCTCGCACCGTCCCTCACCTTCTCGTAGTACTTGACCTCATACTCCAGAATGACCCCGTTGGCTTTTTCCGGTGGCTGCCAGGCCAGGGAAATGGTGTGTCTTGTGATATCCTTGGCCTGGATGGAAGTCACTGGAGAGGGAGCTGGTGAGACGATCAAAGAAAGAGGAAACAGAAGAGAAAAAATATGTTTAGCTGTTGTTTTCACCCTTGGAGACATTGAGTCTGTTCTGTCCCACGCGTTCTCCTGCTCATGCTGAGAAAGTCAAACAAGCCACGAGGCAATCGCTTCCACTTCTCTTTAGCTTGGCTCTCATTCAGAATCAGGGGTCTTGCGAAACCGTGCGGCCACACAGTTGATTTGACAGAAGGAGCGTGAACTAAACGTTGGCGTCTATAAAACCAATACAAGCTCTCCCGTGACACGAGCGTCTCAGGCACTTTTCTCAACCGCAAAGTATATGAATAAAATCAAATGGGCTCGACACCTTTGCATTTTTTTGTCTTTAAGAGAGCAAATCAATTGGTTTTCATTAAAGCTCCAGAGAGCGATCTTATCTCGAGCCTTTTCTGCAGCAGCTGATAATGAGGCCATATTTCAAGCAGCCGTGCTATCTGTGTTCAGACGCCTTTAACACATGAAGGTTAAAGCACAGATAATGGCTTATGCTCGCCCCTCCCTCCAAGTGCGTCGCCGCTGCACAAATCAAACCTCTATCTCCGGGGAGTGTGACAACACGTAAATTGGGTCATACACGCTCACGACTTTACGAAGAGAAAATCCATAGGTGTAGGAGAGATAAGAGTTGTAAACAGAGGAACAACTCGTGTAAGGACTGAGTTTTGGGAGATATAGCAGTGCAGTCACGAGATGATAGAATAAAGCTCCACAGATAAACACAGACAAAAAGACCAAAATAAAACCATGATGGATTTATCATCAGCAAAGTTCCTGTAAAGTAGAGGGAAAAATGCAAATACTTGTGATACTTGTGTCAGTTAAAATGCTTGCTTTTGGTTTTGGCCCCTGATTGCAAAAACCAAACGTCACATATTCTAATAACACGGCGTTAGGGTTAGGACTCAGGGCACAGAGACCACAGAGGGTTAAATAATACTCCCAACAACCTCGCCCACAGAGTCAGAACAAAGCACCACATAGACAAACATTCCCACTAACGCCCAGGTAACACAGTTTTTTTATGGCATCTGCTCTTACGACTCCAAACGGAGCAGATCTTTGACCTCTGCCCCTCGCTGATTACTGTAACCTTACTCGTTCCAGACCATCTGCCTTTTAAAAAATTACAGTGGGGATGATTAATGAGGGGTTCACAGTCCACCGATTATGATTGGATTATCTATGACATTATATACATTCTCATCACTTTGAGCGGGGGCTCCAGGGAGCCTAGCCCACAAGCTAATGCTAACAAAACCCTGCTTTTAGCTGGGGGATTGAGTTCAAACAGGCCTGGAATTCAAGCACCAACCAAGGGATTGAGTTTCATTGGGGTGAAGAAGCGACAGGGGGAGATGGGAGAGGGGAGGGGGAGGCAGAGGGCTTGCGACTGGTGGGGGTCGACTGTGATGGAGAGGGATGGGATTGCAGACATCTCTTAGTAAATAGATTAACCCAAGGTTGTGTCATCCTGTTGGCCTAATGTGTTGCGTCTCCCTTAAACAATTACACGGCGGCCATTTGTAGCCCTCCGATCAATCTTAGCCGGCAGCAAGAGCCAATTTGAAGGCCCTCCTGGGGCCGACTGAGGATGCTCCAACTCCGAAAGGAAAACCCCCGAGGAGGTCACGGGCCTTCATTCCCTGGAGGTAATCCACACATCCATCTTCCCCTCCGAAGATGACAGATATGGCGATTTAATCGTGTTCTGCTGCTCCTGTTGCGTTTTTATTTTCCTCTCGACTAATGTGAGGATAAAGATGACAGATTTTCTGAGTGATCCCTTCTAATGGACACGACCAGGCAGCTCGGCTCACACACAGAAGAAGAGATCCATTAAGGTCTCTTTAAAAAAACTACAAAAACAAAAAACGTGGTAAAAATAAAAAACAAAACAAAACTGTGCACAAATGCATACAGACAAATCGTGCACAGCTAAACTTGAGATCCTAAAATTGAAACATTCACCTGAGGCACAGCGTGCTAGACTTGCTGGCACCTCTGTAGATGAATTTAAATATGTGGGACAGATCTGTAATTTCTTACCGCCCCCCTCTGAACGCGTGGGCTAAACACGCCGGTGGAATAATAAGTGTTAGACGCAATGAATATTCAGATCTTATTTCAGAATTGTGCTCTCTCTCAAAAAAAATGCTTTGCAACACACACAGACACACACACACAGACATACACATCCCAGCAACACAAAGGAACTCATTATACAAACAGAAAGATAGAAATTCACATAGAAAAACACACACCTAGCCCCATTATCTCACACAGCTCAGACAGCAAAAAAAAAAAAAACTCAATCACTGCGCACATGCATAAATTATAATCGGTAAAAACCTGGCAGAGGCACACAGAGTTCAGGGTTTGGTTTGAAAAATAACCTTCCCGGCAGAAAAGATTTTTATTTTTTATTTTCTTCTTTCTCCTTTTCCAGCTCGTTGAGCGGGCGTGCTCATCACGGAGTATTTGTGCAGCGAGGAGCATCTGCGGTGGAGGATTTGCGCGAATACGCGGCCGATTACAGTTTGACATTAAAAGAGACAGGGGCTGCACATGTGGTTGCCAGATTGGAGCCTGGTTGCCAGATTTGAGTCACTCTTTTTTTCTTTTCTTTTTTTTTCTTTGCCTTCGCCGCCAAGGAGAAAGAGTCGAGGAGGGAGCAGGAGCCATTTTCTCCCAACACCCTGAAAAATGGCTCCTGCTTACAAGATTCCCTCCTCGCCCCCTCCACCTATCTAGAGTCAGCCTCCACCTCCCGAGAACACATTTCCACATGTATGCCGGCCCATTTGTTGCCAGAACGATGGAAACACACACACGCACTGATGGAAGTGCCCACACACACGCACACACACAATCCTTATGCATGAATTCACTTTTAGCCACCTGAAGTATTTTGTATCAGGACATAAATGGCCCCCTCCCTCTCTCACACACAAACACACATCGACATATAGAGCGCTCGATCTTATAAAAGGGGAAGAAAACATCCATTTACAGCCAGGGGTCAGTTCAAAGCTTGGACATCTCACCCTCCCCATCCCCGTTTCCCCTCGCTTTCCTCCTGTAGCCCGGGTGAAAGGGTTACACCCCGCCTGATTTACGACAGTGGAATTGTTCGTGGCGACACATGGAATCTGACCTTCTTGTACGCGCATAAATACATGCCTGGCCACAGACACACACACGCACATTAAGCGGCACTGCTCATTTTTATCTGACGGCATTCATTTTTCTCCACTGCACCTTCCTACACTTTCCTCTCGTGCCGAAAAAAAAAAAAATCCAGATCCTTTCCAACCTGCCTAACTCACTTCTTCCTCCCTAGCCGAAATTTGAACTTTAATGGGGCGGGGAGGTGGCGGGGGTGTCTTTTCCACAGCACTTATAAATCCTAATAAATCTATCATAATAAATGTGTAATCCTCGGTGTCTGGATGAGGGGAGGCGATACAGAGAGAGGGACAGCCACAGATGACTGGCTGGATTACCAGCGGCTGAAACCAGAGCTTCTAAAGCCCCTACCGAGCATTAGCAGGAAGAAATCCAATCAGTCTGGAGCTATTCTCTTTTAACACACACACACACAAATTATAAGAGACACACACACACACGGATACACACAGAGGACATTGTTTAAGAAGCAAATGTAGATCATCTGCATTCATGCAAGCATCTCTGCAAAACATTTTTTTACTTCTCACCATGCATGCAGTCAGTGCTGCACATGTGCAAGTACACGCACACACACACACACACACACACACACACACTATAATAGAGCTTCCAGCTGCAGCTTCATATAACTAATCCTGGCGAACATTTGTGAAACATGCACCAGTGACGAGCCAAAGGCAGCATCATCTGTATCTTACAACTTCAAGTCAGCACATTAGCCTCCAGCAACCTTAGGGGGCTCTGTGTGTGTGTGTGTGTGTGTGTGTGTGTGTGTGTGTGTGTGTGTGTGTGTGTGTGTGTGTGTGTGTGTGTGTGTGTTTGGGACTGAATCTCTGTAAGAAAAAAAAAATCTGCATTTTTTTGTGCAACTGTGCATCAGCATGGTCACGCTGACATGCTATTATGAGCCTTCAGCCCGGACTCCAGGGTGTGCTGCATTACAGCTCCCACATAGGCCTTTCTGGCAGTACTCGCAGCTCTCCCACAGGCAGTACATCCATTCATCTCTATCTTCCTGACCCCGGCTGATAAATCAAGCCACTGTGTCCTTAAATTGCCAGTCCAAGCCCTATTGAAGATATTCGCTTTTCCCAGGGATGGAAATTAGCGATAAAAGAAGACACAAAAAGGCACTTAGCTTGCCACCCAAGAGCAGAGCAGTAAAGCAGACCAAGGTAATGATCGTCTATAAGCGGAGGATAGACGGGAGGGATGAAGAGAAAAGACCCGGGTCATAAAATCCATTTACACAACAACTGGTCACAAAATGGCTAAATGACTAAATAACGGGAGGCTTTGAATACAGCATGGAAGCTGGAGGGCTCTTCTCCTGCTCAGAAGGGGAGCCTGTGGTTGTATTCTATGACAATAATTACACACACAGGCACCCAGGCACATGTAATCCAGCAGAATTTGTAATGAATCCTCCCCAGATCAATACCACTCATCTAATTCATTAGTTTGGGTGCTAAATATAGCACGGTGCCCCCATCGTCAGCCCTGGCTTCTTATGCCTAATTATGCAAAACTCCAGTGAAATATTGCATAAAATCATTTCCCTCTGCTGAAAATCCATCATCATCCTCTTCAGTAATCACCCAACCTACCCCCCAATTATTCACAACTTTAATAAACATGTTTTTGACATGCCCCCCAAAAAGTACTTTCAAGCATTCAGTCAAATGAACCCGTGCTCTGTATCATACATGAGCCAGCACACTCTGGTAACATAAACTCTCACACAGTGTGAGAGTTTATGTTTTGTGATCTCCTGCAAAACCAGAAGACCCCCCTGAACTCACTAAAGTAAGCAAGCGTAAGGAGGGTTTGGAATATATGTTAATAAGTGATTAAACAGATGTTTGATGATTATGGGGTCACAGGAAACCATGTTAGGATCGGCTGAATCAGCTCCCATCGCCTTACCGGCCTGGTTGGTGGTGACGGTCACTGATGTGGCCTGCTCAGGCCCTGGGCTCTGAGGTGAGACTCCATTCACCGCCCACACCTCAAAGGTGTAGTTGGTGTGGGCCTGTAGCTCGTTGATGGACACCCTGGTTCCCTTCAGGCTCAGCTGCTGTGGGCTGAAGTGGATTCCATTTCCGCAGGGTTGACAGCGCCGGCCGTCAGAACCGCAGCGCTTACACACTACGTTGTATGTCAAGTCCTGGCGACCCCCAGAGCTCCGGGGTGGGCTCCACTCCAGGTTTACGGAGGTTTCGTTCACATTGGAGATGAGATGCACAGGTGCCGACGGAGGGCCTGCAGAGGGAGGGAGGAGAGCTGGCGTTGTAAAAAGCAGCATGCCAAATGCTAAAAAAGCACACAGATGCAATAACATTGACTTGTGGTTACTGAAATTGAGAAGAAATCCATAATACAAGCAGCCACACTTTCACGATTCTGTCTTTTACTGTCCTTTATTCTGTCAGTTACTTTTACAGTAACTGCTAAGCTGTTAGCTACTCATGTGTTAGCGGTGCTTTGTGGTGGAATATGCAGTTTAATTGAGCTTGAGTTTAGCCAGCTTTTGTTTAGAACATATTTTTGTAATGATTTAAACAGCAATCTGTAGGTTTAAGAAGCAGCTTCAGTAATGTGTTAAGTAATTATAAGCTAATTAGCTGTGTGCTCATGTTGCTTATGCTAATAAGCTATCTAAAGCAGCAGTGGTTAGCGTATGGTTTAAAGCAGCGGGGTTTCTGCCAATTTATTGCAAGATGGACACAATTTCAAACCCAACCCCCACCCCCACTACTGACTCTTTTCAAAGACTGTTAAATGAGCTAAATGTAGCACATTCAGCTAGTGTTCCCGTTAACCATTTTTTGTTTTTACACATATTAACAGGCGTGTTCAGCCAGTGTTGCCAACTCCTCAGTAAGTAAAATCGCTATTGGCTGTCCTAAAAGTTGCTAGAAGTCACTAAATGACGTCATCGCCCAGTTTGCATAATTGGTCATGCCTGTGTAATTGTAACAGACCCTGTAGGAGAGAGAAATAACATTGTGAAAGAGACATAGTGAGTAAAAAAAAATCATCCTAAAAGCATTTAGAATATATTTAGAACTAGAAATTAAATTTCTTTTAGCAATTATTGGGTTTTTTTTATGTCACAATTCCAACCCTCCTTCTTTATCTGGACTTGGGACCGGCAAAAGTGACATGAAATAGGCCCTCTGGCAGAGTTAGCTAGTAGGGTAGTAGTTAGTAGGGGTGAATATCTCCTATGTGCTTTCACGTCAAAAAGTCGTCATAAGTCTCCAATAACACCAGAAAAAAGTAGCCAGATTTGTTGCTAGTCACTTTTTAGAAAAAAGTTGTTAAGGGGGTCTGAAAACTTGCTAAATATAGCGACAAAGTCGCTAAGTTGGCAATACTGTGTTCAGTATCCATCTACTAATGTTCACGACACACAAAAAAAGAATTCTTGGAACAACTTAATTATGTTATGTAATAATTATGTCAACTGGTAAAACATGATGAATTAACTTGAGTTAATAAGGCAGACTAAGCCTACAGATTTAAGATACACACAATGCACAATAGGTGAACCTTAACTTGCAAGGTTTTACTTCAGTAAAAATAACACGTTAAAGGAACAGGCTGTCATCATATTCACCAAACCGCAAAAAAACATCAAGGTCTGAAATTAACTGCTGATCTGGACAGTTGTCATAATCCTCATGAATACCTGTGGCAATTAATCCTCTCTATGCATAAGTTGTGAATTTGTAATTGACTGGGTTCTCCGTTTATTGGGAGCTGAGGCTTCTTGAGTTACCTTTTAATGTCCTGTCCATTACAGAATGGGAGGATCCAGTTTCACCTCAGTTAATTCAGAATGCTAACAGAAATCCAATAGGCCAACAGACTTTCTTTCAGATTCCTGTCGAATCAGCTGGAAAGTGGTGGGATGCCTGAGCCCACTGCTAACAGTGGGACTTTATGGCAGTCAGTGAATAACTTTAAACAAAGTTTGCTTTGGAGCTTGTTATTTAGTCCCTGCTTTGATATAAAAAGCCACATGCTGTAGTTTTATATGGAAGCAGCTCTGCAGCTATGTGACAAACTTCCTGGCACATCAATCCCAATTTACATGTCAGCTCCGTTGTAATTAGTGTGTTTTTTTGCGTTGTTTTCAAACATAAGCGGCGGTAATTGACTTAACTCTCACTTTCTCTCTCCCCATGTCTCTGTTTTCCCTGTCTCACTGCTCTCCACTCTCTCTCTCCCTCTGACTAATGAAGCGCACGCGAGCTGGCTGGGGGGATCGATGCAGGGTGAAATATGAAAGCTAGTCAGTCCGCAGACGAATCATTTCACAACGGAAATTAATTATCAGTGTTATTTTTGGAGAAGGAGAATGGCAATGAATGATTTCACAGAGACACCAAGAGCAGCAGAGGGAGGACCGCGTGTGGGGCTGTGCACGCACGGTCGCCCGAGGAGGAAGAAGCGCGCTCTGAGTGTCAGCGTATTAATGGAGACGAGTAACTGTGCGCTAGGAAGGCGCTTGGCTGTGCGTGTATGGACACGACTCCAGCGTTATTCTGGCAGATAGCGGTAAATTCGCAAATGCTGAGGGGAGGCAGAGGCTGAGAGGAAGGAGATGGAGAAGACAAACACCGTCTGTTCACCCAGAAAGCAAAAGAAAAAAAACCTGATTAGTATGTAAGGAGCAGGTCTGGAGGGTTGGATACAAGGAGGGAGAGCAAATAATGAGCGTGGCTGGTAAGGAGAGGTATCGGTTTAACTGCCCAGTACATGAGCGTTGAGATGAAAGGATGCAGAATGGACTGCGCTAATAGCACCACCGCTCAGCCTCCCCTTACCAAGTGTAGCCCTCCATGAAAATCTATTAATACATTCCCATTAAAAATCATGATAAAGGACTCATCCACCATCCTTTGCCCCTGCCTTTTCATCTCCTCGCCCACTTTTCCTCATTTGCTCTTTCACCTTATTCCCCACATCTGCTGCCCAGACAATGGGAACAAGTTACAGATGGGATTTCTAATTTAAGGTGCCCACTCAAAGCGTTATCACAATAGCGGCTTTGTCAGTGAGCTAGGTTTAACTCACACCTACTACCTTTACACCAATTCTTGACACACTATCTGAGATACTGGGCTCTTATCTGGACTTCAGGTGTCATAAACGTAACAGGACAAAGGTGGCTGATCATTTGCACAGCAGTGCTACGCTGTTAAATTAATAATTGAAATGTTATGGAAACACAGACGCAGTTCCATTACCTCAAATCTATAAAACTAGACATCCTTATGTTAGCTGAGTTTTCTTTAGCTTTTCATATAAGAGACAGCTAAAAAAAAACAACTCACAAGGAAAAATTTTCCCTTGTGTATGTATTGAACAATTACATATACTGTGCTGATGAAAGGGTGTTAGACAGAACTAATCCATCAAACATGATTCAAACCCCAAAATCAGCTCCCTGGTAAAAATGTACAAACTGAGAAATATAGATCATATTATTATCCAAACTCATTTGTATTTGCTTTGCTTTTTTAAACAAATTTGTGGCATTCATCTTTTTCTATCCAAGCTGGATTTTTCAGATTTTTGAATGAAACAAACAGATCTGACCAATCAGACCACTGCATTTAGGAACAAGCGCACTCGCAGCATTGAATATCCAAATATTAAAATAATCCGGTTTACCTCAGAAACACAATTAGACGCTGTTCCGGTTCAATCGACTCTCTGAAATGATTACTCGGTCTCCTCAGATGTGGTCCCAACTCTGCCAGCAAGAGCTCAAACTGTCCCACTGACTTCCCAATATGTGTACAAAAGCAGTCGGGATACAGTTTCAACTCCTGGATCAAACAATAAAATTCTCCCTGCTGCTGCTTGCGAGAATCGTTTTTTTCCTTTTCTTTTGTAGAAACATCAGTACCAGCTCATCATTGCTTGACGTCAATTCAATTTTTTTCGTAGTGCATTTTCGTAGGACAAATGTTTCGAAAAAATTCAGTTCTTGGTGTGTACGTTATAAAACAAGCTTGCATCCAAAAAGTTTGGAATTTCAATTTTTTGAAAAGTAGCAATTTTTTGGTGTGTAAAGGTCTTTAGGGGGCAGGATGTCCATTGACAGGAGAATGTGTATAATCATCCCATAAAGAATTTTTTGTTCTGCTAATACAAACCTAACAACTGCACTATGTAGCTTTGCTTTTATAAACAAATAAAAATAAAATCTAAATCTTAAATACCATATCAGTATTCTTCCTTGCAAACACACACACACACACACGCAAACTACATTTGCCTGTACCTGTCGCTCTCCCAGAAGGCACCATTGGGAACAAGGGAGCGTGGGAGAGCCGTCGGCTGTGACTGACACCCGGTAATTAATCCTGGGAGAAAGAATGGCAGGGGGAGACGGGAGCTCATGCTCGCACAACCTTCATACAACGTTAGCTCAACATGGCCTCAAAATTCACGCTCCTTATGGGAGGTATCCAGGGGGACACTTGGAAAGTTTCTCCTAAAGAAAGTTGGTGATTTCTTTTCCCTCCCTTTCTGTTCGTTTATGGCCTAGCAATTTGCTCAGAGCATTACTTCTTTATTTCCTGCTGCTCTTTCACTTCCATACTCCCCCCCCTCCCCACCTTAATCTGTGTTTCTCATTTTTACTCCACTCCCATTCTCCATCTTTCCCCACAGCAAGCTCCCACCCTCTCCACCCCTATCTCTGTCTGTCTGTCTCTTTCTATCAGTAATTGTTAGCCTAGTGCAGCGCAGGACCAAGTTAAAGAGCCGGGCTAAATTGGCCAGAGCTACGACCCTGCTATTACCATCCGGCTGGGATTCATTCAATGCCCCCCTTGAGTCCTCCACAGTCTGCGTTCATTCCTTACTCCGTACCTCCTTCCTCCACAAAACCACCGCTAAGAAAACTGGGGAAAAATCTGAAAAACACATCAAGGGCCAACAGAAACCCCAAAATGGAGAACAACCCCTCCTTATAACCTGAACACAAGCAGAGCAAGCAGCTCCCACGGGTGTCTGTCGCTGGTCCTCATTACTGCTTTGTGTGTGGGTGTATTTATACCCACTCACATGGGTATTTTACCTAGTTTTAATATTGTACACTAAATTGTGTTCGGTGATATCTTCTACCTGATTACTTTATTAAAAAAAAAAAAGAAGTGTATGCGTGTATGGATCTCAGTGCTCCAGCTGCAGAGCAAGATCATTTCTATAGAGGTGGCCAGGCTGAGACTATTAGACAC